GTCCAGAGACAGGCTCAGAAACGGTCTATGACTGCCTGGGCTCAGAGGAAGCAGGTTGAATGATGCTGGCCATTCTTCGACCAGAAAGACTGAAAACATCCTGTGGCACAGGAAAAAAATACTGGGATGTGCAGCTCAGAAATTAAGGTAAGTATTGCAGCAGCAAAAACTGTTTCTGTTTGTTTTACATTTTTCTGGACTATTCATCTTTAAATTATTTTGTATGCAGGTTTTGATTTAAAGAATATTTATAAGCAGAACCCACATCTACCCAAACTCCTCCCTCTCTACAGCTTGCTTCAGTATTTTTTTCATTTTTCCAATAGTGAGAAACAGCTCTTATTTTCCCTGTAACATCAAGAAGATGTACAATTCTTGCCTGAGCAGGGTACTCTAGCTGACTCCCCACTAGTGTAGGCATCCCCCTGAACTACAGTTCCTAAAAGCCTCATAGTAGAATTCCACTCAAATACTAACTATACTTAAACCTGCTCCCATTCTAAAAAGAATTCTAACTACCCTGTAAAGGAAAGAAGTCTCCAGGAAGTATCCAGGTAAAGCGCACCTTATTTTGTTCAGAACAAGTAGCTTACTTACCTATTCTGATGGCGCACTGGTCTGGTCACATGATCACTTCAGCAGCCAATATTGCTCAAGAGGAGAGATTGCTGACAATTGCTTAAGAGCCCAGTTGATGACTTCACCCATAGGCTTAGTATGGGGCATCCATTGTTGGCTGTCCCTGCTCTACACTGAAGACAGCGCTGGAAGCTGATCATTCGACCGAACCAGGGCACCCTTAGAATAGGTAAGTATAGCCATCTTTCCTTTACAGCAATGGCTGTCAACTTATGAGCTAAAGGGGGCCTCAAACGTCGCCCCTGACTTCACCAAGGGGCCACACATAATATTTAATATATGCAATGATTGAGAGGACTATGAGAAACTGCAGACCTAATAGAGGAAATGAGGGTCAGAGTGTGTCGGCATGCTTTATTTTTGGCTGGGGATATGCTACAGAAAGTAATATGAAACATATTACATGAGACTAGTAGCGGTCAATGTTCCCACTACAGACTGCTGAGGTCCGAGAGCCGCGCATCATATACCAAAGAGCAGGGGCGGACTGACAACTCATGGGGCCCCTGGGCAATAGGGGATCATGGGGCCCCTTTGTCCTTGCCCAAACTCAAAAAAGCCTATGAAAAAGGTACCAGGGGCATCTCATGGGGCCCCCTACTGACCCCGGGCCCTCGGGCAGTGCCAAAGTTTCCAAATGGTCAGTCCGTCCCTGCCAAAGAGCCACATTCGGCCCTCAGATCGCAGGTTGGGCACCAGGGTTTTACAGCGTAGTTAGAATAGTCTTAGAATGGTGGCGGGAGCAGGCTTAGATACACCTGTAATTAGTATTTTACTGGAATGTCATTTTAACTCCTTAACTCAGTTTTGCAACTTTGGCAAGGTTAGTAAAACTGCACATAACATTATGACTACTTAGTGCATCCAGATGAAGCTTACCTTGTTTTGTTCAGAACAAATAGCGCACATTTTGCTATTTTATCCTAAACAAACACACTGACGCTAACACAAAATAAAAAAGCTTCTGTTTTTTATCCTAGCTGAAACACACTGACGATGACACTAATCCTGACAATGACCTGGACACTAGCCTAGATTAGCCCTATTGTAGCTATTTTATCTTTTGTTTTTAGATTTTTATACAGACTTTGTTTACATTCTTCCCTAGCGAGAAGAAAAAGATACAGTGTATTTTTTTCCCCATTCACAGGAGAAAGAACACGGGAGGAATTTACAGAGAGTGATCACTGTGATCCTCAATCACAGTGATTATGTGATTGGGAGCTGGGATGCAAGACCTGGAGCTGTTGGTGACAGTTCAGTCTCCATGCTAGGGGAGCACTATGGAGTGTTTTTCCAGCACAAAGGTATGCATATATGCAGCACCACAGAGAAAGGCTCAATTCTTGTATACTGTATGTAGTGCATTACATAGTTATATAGTTAGTCTGGCTGTAAAAAGACAAAAGTCAATTCAGTTCAACCATAAAAAAAAAAAAGTTATAATCCTACACCCACAGGTGATCCAGAGGAAGTAAAAAAAAACCTAGCACGATCCAATTTGCTCCTGCTGGAAAAAAAAATTTCCTTCCTGATACCCCGAGAGGCAATCGGATATTGCATTGACAAGAACAAGCTAATATGTTGGAAAAGAAAGTGAGGTATGCATATAGAGAGGTTCAGAGAAGGGTGAGAGTAGGTAGTGTTCTGTAGTCCAGAACTCAGACAGGGCTAACATTGCTGCTGTGGATTTATGTGCAGCATTGCCAACCAACAGGAAGTTAATGGTTCTCTGGATTTTGTAGTAGGATAACCAGGTATTTTCTTTATTTTTTCTGCATTTAAAAAAAAAAAAACATTTGCAAAGCATCTCAAAGTAACTCAGAAGAAGCAACTAAAAAGTCATTTATTTGCATCCTAGAAGTCAAAGCCCTAATACTGCATTTGTCCACATCTGACACTAGTGTACATGAGCTCGCAAACGGAATGGAGCGGACTGACAACTCATGGGGCCCCCCGGGCAATAGGGGATCATGGGGCCCCTGTGTCCTTGCCCAAACTCAAAAAAGCCTATGAAAAAGGTACCAGGGGCATCTCATGGGCCCCCCTACTGACCCCGGGTCCGCCCCTGAAAGGGAATGTGTCGTTTAATTTTATTTATTTATTTTTTAGTTAAAGCAGAACTTCACCCAAACGGGGAAGTTCGGCTTATTTGCATCCCCCGTCCTCTTTAACATTTGCCGCTTTTTGGGAGGATGGGGGGAGAGGGTACTTGGTTTTGACAGTACTCACTCCCATGTCCGGTTGGATCGCCGTTTGGCCAACCCCTCCTTCCCCTGCAGCCTTCTAGGATACATTACAAGAGGTGCAGGACCATTCACAAAGTGGAATTCGGCTCACTCATGCACAGTGGGAAACCGGCTGTAAAGCCACCAGACCAGTTTCCCTTAGTTAGGATGCCAGCTCCTGGACCTGAAGCAGATTGAAGAATCAGCTCTGGTGAGAACAGCGCTAGATCCCTGGACAGGTAAGTGTCCTTATATTAAAAGTCAGCAGTTACAGTATTAGTAGCTGCTGACTTTTAATTTTTCGGGAATACACTGGAGAACTGCTTTAAGTAAATTTTAAATATTTCATGAATCTGCATAGGCCCTAAATGTTTTGCCAGCCTGGGCATTTGACAGTGGTGATGGCAACTTTTTCTCACTGAGAAAAAAGTAAACATTTGAAGATATAGTAACAACTTTTACTGAACACTGGCAACTAGCAGATATACTGTAAAAGTGATAAATGATGACTGTTTATGGCACTTAGTAAGAAGTATAAAGTAGTGCCGATTGTGGTAAACCTTGGCAGGAGCAGAGGAAGAAAGCAAAGCAGCATGGGAGAGGATCCAGTTCAAATCCTGAATTAATTAGCTCATCTCTATTAAGCAGTTATCAGTTTTCCAAAATGTTTACGTGAATTTGAAAAGTTTTACAAATGTTGTAGATCACTGATAAACAACAGATATCCATCTGCACATGATCATGGATAATCTGTTCAATATACAGTGCGTAATTAGCACACAAAATAACTTTTTGAACTAGAACACCCTACAAAGAACATGTTGCCATTTCTGAATGTAATACAAAGAATCTTGGAATTCTGTGACTTGGTCTCAAGAGGAACAAATTCCACTGAACAACTCAACACTGGCCAAAGAATTACTAGCATACGCAAGGCAATCATTTTCTGACCCACCCTGTTGGTAAATTTTTGTTGGCATGAGGACAATGTAGCAGATGTTTTCAGCAGAAAAAAAACATAAACGTTTACTACACAGGCATTAAATAATGTGCAGAAATCAGCTAACGAACTTGATTTGCTAACATGCAATGTGAGCAAAAAGCCAAGTTGCCATGCCTTTGAAGTTGCAATGAAAACAAGAATTGAGGGGGGATTTTCCAATTGCTCTAGTGACAGCTGTCTAACATAAGAACTTCCAAAACTTTAGGGGGATTTCCTCTTTCTACTTGTTGCATCTCTAAGATAGGTAGTCAAGGGAAATATCCCTGCAGGATACAGACTGCAAAAAATTACCTGATAGGGGTTTTAACCAATCCCCACTGTATCCAAAGCTACGAATAAGTCTGTGCTTTCCATTGACCTTAACAATGTGCACGTGTGTATATATGTATGCATTTTTAAAGGACAATTCACTTTTACTTTGAAACCCATGAGCCCACCCTCTTCAGACACCTAACCTAACCTAGAACTTCCACCAGATGAATATCTACCTCTCTCTGACAGCTGCAGTTTCCCAAAGTGTTTACAATCTTGGCCCCAAAATCAATACTGACACTAACCACACCTGGCTACTTACCTCTATGCTACAGCAGCAGCCTTCCTCAGTGCTTACATCCTCAGTCTCAAAATCTTTTTTGGGCATGGTATTGACACAGCTCCAGATGATCCACACTGGCTCACAATTAATATGATCCAAAAATATTTAGACGGAATAAAGGTGAATAAAGCACCTAGACTGGATGGCATACACCCATGGGTCCTTAACCACTAGCCTACAGGGCACTTATGCCCCCTTCCTGCCCAGGCTAATTTCCAGCTTTCAGCGCTGTCACACTTTGAATGACAATTGCGCGGTCGTGCAACACTGTACCCATATGACATTTTTATCATTTTTTTGAGACCGATAGAGCTTTATTTTGGGGGTATTTAATCACCTCTGGGATTTTTATTTTTTTTATTAAACAAACTAAAAACCACTGAAAATTTTGAAAAAAAAAAAAAAAGTTTTTTTCTTCGTTTTTGTTATACAATTTTGCAAATATGTGATTTTTCTCCTTCACTGATGTGCGCTAATGAGGCTGCAGTGATGGGCACTGATAGGCTACACTGATAGGTGGCACTGATGAGGAGGCACTGGTAGGTTGCACTGATGGGCATTGGACAGACATCACTGATGGGCACTGAAAGGCGACACTGATACATGACACTGATATATGGCACTGACTGGCACTGATAGGCGGCACTGACTGGCACTGATAGGCGGCACTGACTGGCACTGATAGACGGCACTGACTGGCACTGTTAGGCGGCGCTGACTGGCACTGTTAGGCGGCGCTGACTGGCACTGATGCGCACTGATAGGCAACACTGACTGGCACTGATAGGTGGCACTGATTGGCAGCACTGATAGGTGGCACTGACTGGCACTGATGGGTGACATTGAAAGGAAGCTCAGATGGGCACTGATATGTGGCATTGATGTGCACTGGTATGCACTGATATATGGCATTGATGTGGCACTGATGGGCACTGGCATATGGCACTGGCACGTGGCACTGACAGGTGGCACTTCTGGGGCCACACTGATCATCAGGGTACACTGATCATCAGTGCCCTGATGATCAGTGTACATGATGTCCCCTCTGCGGAAAGCCGATTACCGGCTCTCCTCTCCTCTCGAGCCGTCAGCGTGACAGCTCGAGAGGAGAGAAATGCCGATAACCCGCATTTCCGTGTTTACATGTGATCAGCTGTGATTAGACACAGCTGATCACATGACTGAGCTGATATCTTCGGCTCTTTCCATGATCCGCTGTGTCCGAGGGACACAGCGCACCTGTGATCACCGCACTGTGTGCTCCCTGAGCCGCGTATGTGCAGTGAGAATAGTAGAACGTCATATGACTTCCTATCAGAATGAGAGAACCACCTTGCACCCGTCATTGTACTATAGGGCGGGCGAAAGGTGGTTAAAGAATTGAGCTCTGTCATTTCAAAGCCATTGTTTCTAATTTTTAGGGACTCTTTAATGACTGGCATAGTACCACTGGACTGGCGTAAGGCCAATGTGGTGCCAATATTTAAAAAGGGATCAAAATCTTTACCAAGTAATTATAGACCTGTTAGTTTAACTTCTATATTTGGGAAGATACTGGAGAGTTTAATAAAAGACCACATAGATGAGTTCTTGCTGGAAAAAAATATTTTAAGCAACAGACAGCATGGATTCATAAAAGTCAGAAGTTGCCAAACAAATCTGATTTCTTTTTATGAGGAGGTGAGCAAAACTTTGTACAGAGGGGTGGTGGTGGACGTGGTATACTTGGATTTTGCCAAAGCATTTGACACAGTTCCCCACACACAGCTAATGTGTAAGGTAAAGTCTATGGGCTTGAAAAATCTGTATGTAAATGGATAGAAAACTGGCTAAAAAATCATATTCAGAGAGTAGTGGTTAATGATTCATATCCTGAATGGTCTAGGGTTGTCAGTGGTGTACCACAAAGTTCAGTGTTGGGAACCTTACTTTTTAATATATTTATAAATGATATAGGGTCTGGGATTATGAATACCATTTCAGTCTTTGCAGATGACACCAAGCTGTGCAGTGGAATAACGTCCTTATAGGATGTCTCCAATTTACAAGCTGAGCTCAGTGCACTATTAAATTGGGCAACTATGTGGCAAATGAGGTTTAATGTTTATAAATGTAATGTTATGTACTTGGGGACTAAGACATGCATCATACATACTTGGGGGGGGGTGGGTACATCTGGGGGAATCAATGGTGGAGAAGGATCTGGAAGTTCTGGTAGATCACAAGCTTAATAATGGCATGCAATGCCAAGCTGCAGTTTCTAAAGCGAGCAAAATCCTCTCTTATATTAAAAGAGGTATAGACTCCAGAGAGAGAGAGATATCATTTTACCCCTGTACAAATCATTAGTAAGACCTCATCTGGAATATGCAGTTCAAATTTAGGCACCAATTCACAAAAAGAACATTGGGGAACTGGAGAAAGTACAGAGAAGGGCAACCAAACTGATACGAGGCATGGAGGAGCTCAGCTATGAGGAAAGATTACAGGAACTGAATTTATTCTCTCTAGAGAAGAGGAGATTAAGGGGGGATATGATCAACATGTATAAATACATCAGTGGTTCATATAGTGAACTCTGCGTAGAGCTTTTCACCCTGAGGTCATCACAGAGGACAAGGGGGCACTCTTTACATCTGGAGGAAAAGAGATTTAATCTCCAAACGCGGAAAGGTTTCTTCACAGTAAGAGCTGTGAAAATGTGGAATAGACTCCCTCAAGAGTTGGTTCTGGCCAGCACAGTGGATTGCTTTAAAAAAGGTCTGGATTCTTTCTTGGATACACAGAATATAACTGGATACTAACATTTAAAGGTAAAGTTGATCCTGGTAATATCCGATTGCCTCTCGGGGGACCAGGAAGGAATGTTTTCTCCTGCAGGATCAAATTGGATCATGCTTTGATGGTTTTTTTGCCTTCCTCTGGATCAACTGTGGGTGTAGGATTATGTATTTTTTTTTTAAATGGTGGAACTGGTTGGATGTTTGTCTTTTTTCAACCAGACTGTGTAACTATGAAAGCTCAAATTTTCACTGCCACTTACTGGTACAGTAATCACATATGGGTACTGCTAGGGCTGCTACCTCATCCCTTTAAAACTGAACACATTAATTACACAGGTTCTGAGGCTAATTTAATGCAGATAAGGCACTAAGTGAGTTTAATTACTACCTTAATCATCCACAGAACCAGTGTGTAAATTAATATGTGTTCGGGTTTAAAGGGATGAGGTGGAATCTCTAGGTACTACATGTGGGACGGAATGCTGTCACCCCGATTGGCTCACCATCAGAGAATCGTTTCCTCACCACTGGGACATATGACCAAGGTATTATAGCTGGACATTGCATTCAAGACTAGACAAGATTAGCTTGATGCAAACTGGAACTACTTTATTGAACTGGAACACAGGTTTTTATATACTTCAGAAATAGGTGCAGTTCCCACATGAACAATAAAAAAAATTGTCCACACTGATTAGGTAGGAGCTTGATTACATTATCCTAAACAATGCAAATGGTAAACAGCCAACAGCTAACTGTGACCTAAATAACAGTACGTTAATCAACAGCCAGGCAACCAACAATGCTTTGATTAATCAGGGAGCCCACCCCAGACAGATCGTCAACAAGCCTAACCCTGAGCACACAAAGTCCTTTACACATGCTGTCTATCAGTTAGCTTTCACTTGAATAATCTGTCCACCATAAGACAAAACTCATACAATATTCCAACAGTTTGAAAAAGTAGAATCCATCCATCTTCATAGATTACTTGAAGGAGATTGCTGATAAATATTTCTGTCCCATATAGAGGAGCTTCTCCAACCCAGTCCGCATGAGGGCCACCATATTTTCTCTGACCAGACCAGAGAAAATTTATAAACGGCCTCCCTGCCCCCTGCTTGTGCGCGCTCCCAGGGAGCACACAGCACCGCAATCTGGTGCCCGCTGTGTCCTCCGGACACATTGGAACATGGATCGTCGTACGGGACTTCTGTGCGAGGTCCCAATCATGTGTCACTGATTGGCCAATCAGTGATCACATGCAGAGTAGTAAGCAAGATGTCACTTCTAACATCATTGCTTACTTGTGAAATCTGTGAATGATCACAGAAGTCACATAGTACAAGGCTATTCACAACAGCCTTGTACCATGTGACAAACTGTGACCAATCACAGCTCACACAGTATTTCTCAATGGCTGCAAGAATGCAGCCAGAGAGGAGAAATGATTGCTTTTACAGCCTTTATGGGTGTAAAAGCAATCTGTGTAAAAAAAAAAAAAAAAAAAAATCTTCATCACCCCCTACAAGCAGTACAGTGTCACCATGGTGACACTGTACTGCTAGGGTGACAGTATGTAACAAAAAAACAAATACAAAAAAAATAAAAATGCAAAACATTTTTTTTTTTAAATTATAATTTTTGATTATAAACTAATTTGGGTTATTTTTTTTTTTTACTAAAAAGATACCTGAATAAATTTTGCCCAAGATTTATGATTCGATATTATTTATTTGCAAAATGTTATAAGAAAAACACTTTTTTTCAAAATTTTTGAACTTTTTTATTTATATAGCAAAAAAATAAAAATCTTAGTGGTGACTAAATACCACCAAAATAAAGCTTTATCTGTCTCAAAAAATGCTAAAAAATTCATATGGGTACAGTTTTGCATGACCGCGCAATTGTCATTCAAAGTGTGATAGCGCTGAAAGCTGAAAATTCTCCTGGACAGGAAGTGGGTAAAAGTGTCCGGACTTGAAGTGGTTAATTATGGGCGGTAGTAAAATACCAGATTGTGGTCACTAGATGGAGCTAAAGAGCCTAGGAATTACATAAATGTAACAAGCAATACTGTGTAACAATTCTAGAGAATGCTAGAGGGAATTAGCAAGCAAATTTAACCACTGGTTGCAATTTCTCACTTTGTAAAATTAATAGACATACATGGACAAATACCTAATATTATTGTATATGATTGCTTTTATAGAACAGAAATGCAACAAATGTAACAAATTCCTAGCTAATATTTATTTTTTCAATAATCAGCACACACAGACAACGTGGGGTATGGCACCACTGATGACGTGAACCATATCCATGGAAAACGTGCTATTAACTTTTGTGACTCTCAGGTGTCATGTGGAATATTGCTACAATAATATATAACAAAGTAAAATATATATTTGTATACTCTCTTTATCTTGCTATCATTCCCATATGAAAGCATTACATGTCTGTTTTTCTATTTTTTATTAGTAAAATTCAGTTAAAAAAAAGGTCCAGATATACTGTAAAAAAAGTCCTGCACCAACCTAAGAAAATTAGAAAGCACAGATTTAGTTATGTGTGTTAAATCTTTAGAACATACGAGTGACCTTAGGCATTACTGGGCATTAAACCAAAGAATAGACAGAACAATATTATTTTGTAAACCAAATAAAGAAAAAACATGCATCTCATAAAGAGGACATAAAGCGATTTAAAAAGCAATTTCCTATCCTCCGACGATCGGAAATGTTACAAACAGTACAATACTATTCAACATTCTCTGCATGACTGTCTGTGCTACAGGCCATGTTACAGATTTATTTCTGTAACCATGTGCAAGTTGCCAATCTGGACTGAGCCCAAGATCTTTTCTCATACCGGTGTGTAGCCTTACAGAATATCTACACCCAAAAACAGTCATTTAATACATTGCAGCTTATTAGTCTTTAAATGTAGTGGCTGCATTAGTTTTCTTTTTTCATGTTTTTTTGTTCATTTGCACCTGGAGATCCTGTCAGTAACACACTTCCTTTCATTCATTCACTGTACTATATCTATGGAGGAGCAATGTTGTAACTCTAGGACAGAAAACTTGATAGAACTATAGAACACCTCTCTGCTTCTCTACAATAGCTGACAGCTGTCAGTAGAGACAAAGAGTACATGATGTTATCAACTCACTAAATTTCTGATGAAATCAACAGGTATTAAGATTTTGGGTTAGCTCCATTGCAGCAAGTCTCACAGTAAGACACTTGCACATGTTTTTTGTCATAGCCCTCAATGTATATTTTCACATTTCACACAAACTTCAATTGGCTTTCAAAGCTTAAGCCCACTTTTAGTACCGTGTCACACTAGAACGTGGTACGGGAACCCATGATCTGTGCGTGTTTCCTGAACTGCATTCAAAGCGCACTGCTCTTGCAATCTACAGTAGGTGTCAGTGCAATGTTAAAGTGTTACTAAACCCTGGACCTGCATTCACTATATCTGGTCTCCCACAGTACACACAACATAATAGTGCAATTATTTTAGTAAATATAAACTGCTAAATACCTTGTCTTTTGACTTCAGCAGAGCACTGGTTAACGCTTGTAGGGGGAGTTTTCTTTCTGCTCTAGGAGGATGCCAAACCCCTGACCCTCTGCCTGGACAGTGCTGATTGGCCCTGTGCTGATCACATGCACTCTCCCAAGAAAAAAAGCTCTAGCAATACACACTAAACTGAGTGTGTTCATGTGGCGCCGGGTTCAGTCTGTCTTATCATGAGATAAGATGTGGACAATCGAACAAGAGGAGGGGAAGAGAAAACAGGATCAAAACAGCCTTTTTACACAATGCAGAGGATTAACCCCTTAGGATCCACAGCGAGTATAACAAGCATGCTTTAGTGTATATACAGACTGATTTTACTGTTGTGGGTTTAGTAACACTTTAACACTTCAAACGCAGGTCACAAATGCAGTGACTACCATGGTATCCAGTTGTAGTATGTTTCCAATAGTAGTGGATACACTACTTTGGTGTGATGCGATGCAATTTGATCCCAAATAACACCGCACTGAATTGCATGTGAATTGCACAGGAATACAGTGTGCATTCATCTACAATTCATAGTGTACACCTAAGCTCACACTACTGCAGTGCGGTTTTCCTGCACTGCAAGTACAGCACAGCTTACCCACATGTTTGGAGCAGATTACCTGCACTTTCCCATAGAGTTATATTGTGCCCCACGTTTGGTGCATGTTCTGAAAGAACACCAGTGATGCAGTATGCAGGAGATTTGGTGTACTTTCAGGAAGTCCACCAAAAACACAGGACAAATTTGAACTCTATAGGAAAGCATCGCTAACCCACTCCAAACACGCAGGTAAGCTGATGGCACTGACAGCTACATCATTGGCAGGAAGTTCTATGCTGCCTTCGCTGCCCGGCCGCAGCAGGCTACAGCCTATGTTGGATATACAGATATCCAAAGCTTCTTATACTGCTAGAAAATAAATAAGATATAGTGCTGCTGCGCTTAGGAATAGATATTCATGCAACTTTGATAAGTATACGCTGCAGTCCTAATTTGTGAGCCAATAACACAATAACAAACAAAATACCATGTGGACCGCGGATAAATTAAGTGCAATAAATTTGAGAAAAAACATGAGTAATAATGCTTCACATATGCAAAGTGAATAATTGTAACATTCAGTCCCAAGACGGAAAAAGAAAGTGCAGAAGTGTTGAATACTACTTGGTGCACATCCATGTGGGGCACCAATTGAGCACAGAGGAGCACCTGTCATTTTTTGCACGAAGTTCACCAATTAATATTCAACACTTGGCACTTTATTTTTCCGTATTGGGACTGAATGTTACAATTATTCACTTTGTATATGTGAAGCAATATTACTTATGTATTGTCAAATTTAATGCATTAATCAGGGGCGGACTGATTAATCGAGCACTCGGGTACTGCCCGAGGGCCCGGGGTCAGTAGGGGGCCCCATGAAATGCCCCTGGTACCTTTTTATAGGCTTTTTTGGGTGTGCTTTGAGTGTGGGCAAGGACACAGGGGCCCCATGATCACCTACTGCCTGGGGGCCCATGAGTTGTCAGTCAGCCCCTGCACTTAATTTATGCGTGGTCCACATGGTATTTTATAAAGCTCACTGCTCCCATTCTTTTTTTTCTTCTTTTGTTAAATAAACTTTTTGAACTAATGCTGATGCAAATACCAGTGGCCATATAGTTATGCTCTGCACCTGAGCAGAGATGATATTTGAGTCAAATGTTAGTGGGTGACCAAAGAGAAATGGAGATCATGAAGCAATAGGATTATAACTGCATAGCAAGAATGTTATCAACCACAAAACAAAAAAAAATTAAGCAAGTTGCCAAATAAATAGCAAGCAAAAATGATTTCTTTGGTATGTTTATGGAAATCTGCAGAACACATTGGATATATCCGACTGGAATGCAACGTTCAAAAGTATGGGATTACCTTCAAACAATTTCCACTTTGTATGCATTCCCAACTGACTTCAGTACAAACATGAATACCATAAACAGTTACATGTGTGGTCATGCAAAGAATTGACTACAATTCATTTAAAAATATTCTTTTTTTGAAACTGATAAACAAAATATGATATTGATTATTCCATAACATTTATTAATTGGGGACCAAGTCTGATTTTTTAAATTTCATACTATTATTATTAAAACTATTATTCATAAAGAGTCTGCAACAGCCAAATTATTATCTCTATATTCAGGAAATGCAGTTGACAGAGCTCTGTCTCTACAGTCAACTTTCCATGGGAAAGTACTTGCAATGCTCAGTGATTTTATTATTGTTCTGGTTATCTGTTTATGGTGGAAAGCTGGTTTTATTGTCACGCATCGCTGCTTGTGAAAATCATGTATTTGTGCTCCAGCAATATAAGGCTACTCAGTGTTCCAGCTTTACAATGTAGTTCCTTACAACCATCTACAAGAGATAAATATTATAATCCATACATCCACAGAACACAGATGTGACAGTCATGGTTGGCTGTAACACAACAATAGCAGTGGTTTTCTAACATACAATATCTAAATTCATCCTGTTAATATCTAAAAAAAATCTGAACCTCAGCAGCATATTATACTTTGTTGAACTTCTAAGGAAAACATGTTTCATATGTTGATGGTGAAGTAATATGTATAATAGAGTTTGCATATCACAATACATAGAAAATCAATAATGGCTATTAATCTGTATTTTTCCATTGTGCATTAATACACTTTTGATAAATTCACATTCTGGTAAGTTTCATGCAGCCATTAAAACACACAACCAGAACCTACACTATGTATGTAAAGTATATATTTTCTCTCTTTTGTCCTTTTATATAAACCACATAAATTG